AATGCTGGCTGTAGGTTTGTCATATACAGTCTTTATTGTATTGAGGAATGTTCCATGGATTCCTAATTTTTCCAAAACCTTCATCATGAAGGGGTGCTGGATCTTGTCAAATGCTTTTTCTGCATCTATTGAGATAACCATGTGGTTCTTATTCTTGCTCCTGTTGATGTGATGAATAATATTAATTGATTTGCGTGTCTTTAATAATTTTTGTTCACTGTAGTGCTCTTCATAAGACATATTGCCTAACTATCTCCTTTTTTGATACTTTATATTTATTCCTTATTACAAGTATACACACATCTCTTGTATTAGAGGTTTGTGAATGCTTTGAAAAATAATCATAAGGGGATGAAAAAGAACAGCACTGCAAAGTTACCAAGAAAGTCACAACTAATTCTCTATATGTCTGTGAAATGATAATATTTCAATAAAATAATCTTATTTCTTCTCATGATACAACAATTATCTCTGCTTCCTATTCTTCATATATTTCACTTAAATGAAAATCTTTCATATATCAGAAATTTGTTCTGTGGTACAATTTTCAAAGAAACCTTTTATTTATATTAATTACAAATTTTTCTAACCATTTAATTATTGTGTTTTTCACTCAGTTATAGCAAAACTAACCATTCCTATTTGCATTTTACTTATCAAGTTATTCAGTTTCTTTGTATTCTTGTTTTTGTTTTGTGCTTTCTATTGGGGTTTGAACTCACGATCTAGGTGCTGACCCTGGAGCTTTTTGGCTCAAGGCTAGTGAGCCACAGCTCCACTTCGGGCTTTTAGAAGGTTGACTGAAAATAAGCATCTCTTGGACTTTCTTGCTCAGACTGGCTTCAAGTTGTGATCTCCAGTTCTCAGTCTCCTAAGTAGCTAGGATTACAGGTGTGAGCCAACTGTGCCCCGCTTCTTTGTACTCTTTTGTACTATTGAACATTTACACTTTATGTATTTCAGGTAGTATCCATAATTATTGTCATGCATACCTTTATCAACAATTTCAACAATAATACATATTTCAGTTCATCTCAATAGCAGTAATATAGCTGAAATATTAATTAACCTAATTTCACTCTGAAATTACCCCTTCAAATTTGCATATTAGTGTAGATGCTCCCTGTTCTTTTTATCTTCTTACTCTCCAAAAGTTCATTAGTACTTTATTGCTGCTGTTATATTATTATTTTATATAATATTTATTTAGACTTGTCAATACTATTTTTCCAATTTTGCTTTTACTTTTCATCTCATTCCCCATTATTCAATTTCCTCCTGGCTTTTCATTGAATGTGACTATAAATTCTCTCAAGATTTAGCATGATTGAAAGTTCCTTTATTTTCCTTTCCGTATTGAATAATAGCATGGCTGAACATATAATTATGTAGAGACAGTTATTTTTTATAACACTGGAAATATTATTCCCTTGACTTCTGAAATTTTGTTCTGTAAGAAGTCTGCTGTCAAATTATTGTCCCTTTATAATTTTTTCAGGTACCTTTTGCATTTTTTCTTTGTCTTCAATTCTCTGTAGTTTAACTCTATTTTTTCTATGTGTAGACTTGCTTTCATTTGGCTTTGCCACTTGGTGTGTTTTAGTAAAAGACAGTAATGTTTTTCTATAGTGATTCTCCAGTAACTTTTGGAAGATTATCTTTCCCCAGTCTTCCCAATCTTCCTAGAAGAAATCATTAGTAGAGCTGTGAAAAAAGATCCCTATCCTATATTCTGATTTTCATTACCCTTTTAAATGTCTGTGTTTTTATTTGAATCTGCCCAATTCTGAATAACCTTTTGAAATATATGTTCCAATATTTTTTTCAACCTCCTATGGTACCATTTATCCTTCAAGAAATCTCATCATGTTGCATAGTTATCTATGTTTATCAATGTCTCCTTATATTTTTTCAATTTTCCATTTCTACGATTGCATGTAATTTTTAAATATTATCTTTTTCATAAATTTCTGTTTTTATTTACTACTGCTTATATCTTTAAGCATTTCTACTCTGAGTCATTAAAATTCAACACAATGTAAATTTTGGTCTTACACTTGAAATCTTCCACATTCCATTTATTGTTATAACTTCATTGCTTCAAAAATTTTTATAGAAGTGAGAGAAAGCAAAGTTGTCTTACAATAATCGTATCTCAACCAATTCTTGAATGCTAATAGTCTAATGTTGGCACAAAAGAGAGTAAAATACTTTTTTCATGATTAGTCTATTGTTCCCCTTTGTTACATTTTATCACTAATGACCTGGCTTCTTCTCTATAGTTTCCACATAGGCTACTGGAAATCTGGATTAGCCTTATTCATATGGACTTCAATCCCAAAATGTCTTGCCTAAGTATATTCATATTACCTTGTAATATTTAACAAGAATTTCAGGGCAACTCTTTCTGATAGATTTATACTACATTGTCTTGAAGACTACTTCTTTTTGTTTCTTCAGTGATCCTTCAAAGTTTTATTAACTGCCTGCATATCAATTCAGAGACTGTGAGTACTGAAATTGTCAGCCTTCTATTCTTCTCAGGAATGGTACACTTGAAAAAGTTGTCCTGGATTTTGTTCAACAGGAAATTTATGCCAACTACCTGTTCTTTAATATACCTATTCACTAGAATAATGGTGCTGTTTTAGTAATACAGATGGGAGTGGAGTATGTAGCTCAATGATAGAACACTTACTTGGTAGTCACAAGACCCAAATTCTTTCCCTAATACTACAAATAAAGAAAAAATAGTATTCACAGGTAAATTTCCCCCACTGGTTCCCATACAAATGAGAAATCATTGTCCAACTTTATAAACTGTTCTCTCACTAGTTCTGCCTTTTCATTAACCTTTTTCTATTTAGACCAGTTCTTGTGTGTTAAAAAGGAGAGAGATGCACTCCCAACATAGAATATAAAGAATTTATCTTGATTATTTCCTAAATATGAAAAAGTACTAAACTCAAAGAAAATAATCCCTACATATATGACCAGCCCAAGTATATTATTAATGAAATTCTCTAATATCATTGCATTATCTGTGTCTTGGGGGGATTTTATCTTTTATTCCAATTTATAATATCCTCTATTTGTGGTACATTTCCTTTTATGGCGATGACACTTTTATTCTAAGCTTGCTTATAGAAGGAATTGTTTTTACCAGTAATTCTTTTTGTTTTGGACTTTGGAAATTACTTAGGAATCTTTGTACTTGCCTCTTCCTGAACCATAATGATGCCATGGTATGCTTTCATGTGTGATATAAGGTTAAACCTTAGGTTTCAACTAACAATCTGAAGGAGTCTCAGATTAATTAGTATTTCCTTAGAATAGGTGGAGAAATTCTAGTTCTTACATTCAGGATAGGTGGCCCACTGTTCATTCTTCTTTCATCTCCCTGGGTTATGTAAAGCCAATACCTTTTTACCCATCCCAAGTTAGTATTGAATACCTCAGCTTGTACCCTGTTCTGACACCCTACCATTTTGTTAAGCTTTGTTTTCCACTGTCTATTTGCCTATTTTCCCCTGGCACTTGAGGTTCTCTGATACATATTTTATAGATCAGCTTTGAAATTAGAATGGTCACTTTATATTTTATCCAGAATTTCAACATGACTAAAACAGTGTGTGTGGAGGGAGGGTTATAACATCAGTTTCATCTACTACTTTGAATGGAAGTTCACTTAGTTGTCTATGTTATTCTTCAGAGCCACTTTGCATTCTGTCATTTCAAAGGAAGATTAAGTTGCAAACTGTTAACCTTAACAGTTACTCTAACTAGATTTAAGCTCTAATTTGGGCTTGAAGACTATATTTTATTTTACAAAGGTGACCTGAAAGCTGGTACATTCAGTCTTTCCAGCTGTGTCCTTCAGATACTTTGAGGACAGAAGAGGCCATCCATCCAGACAGTTAAATCAGCAAGATAGTTCATTACCTCAATCTGCACCAAAGTTAATAAGACACATTAACAATCACATCCCCTTATCTTCAAAGCTCTAAGGTACTCTTGAGTATTTAAGGAGATATTTATATTTTCCCACTGGGATCATTGCCCAGAAGGAAGACAGCCTGTAGTACAGCAGGAGCTGGAAATGACCCAGATTTAAGATTTCCACCACCTTTTAAAGAAAAACACTTAATTTCACTTTCTGAGAAAAAGCTGCATATAAAATACCAAGTAGCTATCAAGTTGATAGGCTTTCAAGGCAGGTTAGAATGCTAATTTTCATAATATAGAGATAAAATATCATCGATCATTTGAAAGGATATATCCACAAAGGAAAATTTAAGGGAAAGTAGATAAGTGTTTAGATTTTCCTACAACCAAATATTTCTTTGTAAATTGTATGTTTGATGGTCCTAGCAGAGGGGTGCCAGGAAGAGGTGATTGTATTTATAGGTTAACCAAATCAAATTGAAAATAACTGCCCTAATATTTTTTTATCATTTAATTCATGTCCTTGCCTTTTTAACAGATATAATCACCATGCAGAAATTTCTCTTTACTATATATTTGTTTTACATTTTGCCCATGAATATAAAACATTAAAAAATATGGCAATATTCAATTTTACTTTATTGAGAAATAGTACATGCTGACTTATAATTCACATCTAATAAGACTTGGCCCTTTCACCAAGTATTTTTGGGGTAAAGATTCATCCATGCTGCACTACTTGATTGAATCATTTATTTTTGCTTCTGTATTCTCTGTTTAGAAAGTGATATAGTGAATTATCTCTTCTAGTAGACATGCAAATGTTTCATTTATTATGCTTTTGCTACAAAAATATTGAAATAATCATTCCTGAAACTGTTTATCTAGTGCATGTAAAATTGTTTCTCTGAAAATATGTGTCTGATAAATGGAGCTGTTGGGTTGCTGGCTGTGTGACTGTTTATCTCATGAAGAATGATTCGTTGTTTCTAGAATAGTAATTCTAATGCCCTCACCAGCAAAAAATACATTTTTGTTTTGGTTGACCCATATAGTCTCTCATGCCTGGAAGTGTCATACTTCCCATTTGTGACAGTAAACAGACCATCTCACTTTAATTCTTATTGAACATATCTTTGGTTAAAGAAGGCTAAAAATGCATTCCTATGCTTATCATATACCTATATTTCTTTTTAGTTGAATGGATGATTCAGGCCTTATACCCATATTTCTATTGAGTTACTTATACACCTTTTAATTGCTGTGGCATTGTTAATATTCTTGTCTGGTACAAATGGTATTAGTGTCTTCTTTAAGGCTGAATGCATGTTTTCAATTGATTTTATTGTTGTTTTGGTTAACCGGGGTTTGAACTTAGGGCCTTATTCTTGCAAGGCAGCCACTCTACTATTTAATCCATAGACCAACTTTTCAATGTCTTGAGAAGGTACTTGAAATTATAATGATCTTTTTTTCTAGAGGCTTGTACTCAGGGCCTAGGTGCTCTCACTTACTTTTATTGCTGAAGGCTAACACTTTATCCCTTGACATACAACTCGATTTCTGGCTTTTTAGTGGCTAATTGAAAATAAGAGTCTCATGGACTTTCCTGCAAAGGCTGATTTTGAACTGAGATCATCAGATCTCAGCATCCTGGTAGCTAGGATTATGAGTGGAAGCCACATGCACATACAAATATTATCATTTTAATATCGTCAAACTGGTTAATTCTCTATGCTCAAGTTTTTACAAAATATTTTTATATATTATCCAATATTCTCAAGAGAGAAATATCATCTATATTTTCTTTAGCAATCAAATTTATTTTAGATTTGGGTCTGTATATGTTAGTTTTGTAGTATCTAGTTTTGTAGTATTATTCATAATCTAGAAACATATTTGCAGTAATATAACTCAAATAAATGATAAAAATACAAAAGTAATCCATATTCATGATAATTTTTACTGCCAATTTATAATAGCAAATAAAACTAAAAACATTCTAGCTATAAGATGTCATTGTACTGGAAAGATATAATCATTGAAATCAAGTCTTGGATTTAATTAAAATATTTTCCTAGTAATATGCAAAGTTATATACTTTAATGAAAAGAGAACTACAATTATATCCCTTTTAAAATTTGAGCTCTCATATATGATAAAGTTTAGAAGAGATCAAAGAAAGTGGTAATAACTGTTATGTGTGGAAATTAGTTTTTGCTATGCATTTCTGCATGTTTTTTGCTTGTCTTCTATACTGTTATGTTGATGAATACATTATTTTAAGAAGTAAATCTCAGGATTGTAAATTTATTCATGTAATAAAATGTTTCCTTAATTACTTGTAATTACAGAGATATTAGATGTTCAGAGTACCTAGATGCATTTTAAATAATCTCCTGCAAAGGAGAATGAAATATGTAAAATAAACTGTTATGTTTTCAGAAGTTTTGAAAATAGAATGTGAAAATCTCCCATTCATTTTTCTTCTGGTTCTGGGGCTTGAACTAAGGGCATTGGCATTGTCCTAAGTTTTTTTGCTCAAGGCTTACACTCTACCACTTGAGCCCTAGCTTTACTTTCAGCTTCTTGGTGGTTAATTAGAGATAAGAGTCTCATGGCTTCCCTGCCCTCACTGACTTCAAATTACAATCCTCAAATCTCAGGCTCCTGATAAACTAGGATTAGTGGTATGAGCTACCAGGACCCATTCCACGCACTTTCATGTAATTGATCTGTGCTGTATGTTTCTTTCTTAGGAAGTTTGGGCATGTTGGCATGAATTATTGTCATACTTGGAGAAGGCAAACAAGTGGCTGAATGAAGTAGAATTAAAACTGAAAACCACTGAAAGCATTCCTGGTGGAACGGAGGAAATCTCTGAGGTGCTACAGGTAAATTGTAAATTAATCTACATAATGATCATTTATATGAAGTATAGAAAGAGGTTAAGTACCAAACAGAAACTAAAATCTAAAATTCAAGTGAGAAAGTGTATTTACTATGCACAACTCAGCCCTGACACTTTGGATAAATATTTTGTTCCCTCTAAGATCCTTCTAGGTGTCAAGGTTTTAGAAAAAGGTTTAAATAACCTCTTACAGAAGACATTTACCTTTTGTTATCTCACCAAGTTCTTGGTACACATTGTACCTGATTAATTCAACGGCACATCTCTAAAGACTGAATGTAAAATGATGTTCTTTAGGATTAGAGCTTAACAGCATAATAATATGAAACATTACTTCCAGTTTGAAAGCTACATTTAATAAATTGAAACACATTTTAAAATTATGTAAAAAATAACCTTACAGAATTTCTCTACACTTCACAGTGCTTTAAGGGAATATGTGGACAGGCTTAGGTGTTGGAAATATATCTGTTAAATGTTCCTAAAATTTTAAAACATTTTAAAGTTTAATACAATTTAAGGGGTTGCATCTATTTATAATAATATGTAGTTTTACTATATGCAGCAGTGTATGTAGAGATGTTTGAAAAGTGTAACTTTTATAAATATGTAAAATAATACAACTAAATTATTTAAGATATTAAGGAAGTATAAAATGTTTCTTTAGATAGAGTAGACTTAAAACCTACATGATAGCAGATAATTTTTTCCAACTTTGTTTTTTTCAAGAAAATTATGAAACTTAAAACATGTAACAATAAAAATAGTGGAAATCCCAATGCTTATGAACAGTGCTTGGCTAAACACTCTTTATGAATTGATAGAATGATTCATATTCCATAAAATGTAAAACAAACTTGTAACATGCATGCAATTACTGGATATATTCTTTATAAATTTTTAGGTGGTCCTGGGGTTTGAATGGGGTTTCAACATAAAACTTTGCCCTTCTTCCTAGGCAAGTACTCTACCATTTGGGTCACACTCCAGCTCTGGGTCAAATTCTTGATACTATTTTTAAAATAATGCACTGAAAAAGAGGAGCATGTAGAAAAAGGAAATAACAATGAATACAAAATTGGAGGCAGTAAAAGAGAGTGTTTAAATAAGGGAAGAGGAAAAAGATTTCTATTTACATTTGCTATCATTTAATATCTTAAACACTGTTTGGTAATGTTTGTGCTGATCATCTAGTAAGCCATTTTTGAATAGCAAAAACCTACAGTGCCATAAATCAAGGACAGACCATCGCTGACTTCTAAGTTTCCTTGCTACTTAAGATTTCCATAATTGATTTTGTAAATTTGTTTTGTTGCTTTAGTTCATTTTGTTATTAGTGAACAATCTATATACACCATTAGTATTTTTAAAGAAATATGTAGGTATTAAAGTAAAGGTCACCAATGTTACAGTGTTAGAGTAAATAAAATGTATACCATAAAAATTTAATAACATTTTTGTAGTAAAATGTAGTGAAATATTTACATATTTTAGAATTCAGTCATATTTTGTACAAAATCATTTAGAAAGCCTTTGTATTTAGATTTACTGAAAAAAATATTTTGAGATTGCACAGAGCATATAAGAACACTTGCAAATATATATTGACATATTGCTTTTTTTCAATATAAGAAAATAAAAACATTGGAGTAACTGGTTACAACATAATCTCTATCCCTTATTGTGTAGTCATGTTTGAGATCCAGTAGGATGTTACTGATTTACTTGTTTTCCAGAATGCTTAAACTTGATGTTAAATTCGTGTGTGTGTGTGTGTGTGTGTGTGTGTGTGTACATAAGAGACTCATAGACTTTCCTACTAGGTCTGGTTTTGAACTTTGATCCTCAGATCACAGCTACCTGAGTAGCTAGGATTGCAGGCCTGAGCCACAAGAGCCCATTGACACTAAAATTCTTTTCCCCAGTATAATCCATCCAGGCAACTTTTGTCAGGTTGAACAGTGTGTGAGTTAGGGATTATAGAGCTACAAATATAGAAAACCAGGCAATATCTAAAGATTAAAACTTATATTTTCCTACCCTAAATTACATTACCCATATATAAGAATCAACCATATGATGAAGCAATTAGTTGTTCTCTCTCCCTCTCTCTCTCTCTGTTCCCCCTCTCTCTCTCCCTCTCCCTCCCTCCCTGCCTCCCTCCTTCCCTCCCCCCTCCTTTCTCTGATCCCCTTTCCTGAGCATAAAGGACTTTATTATTACTTTCTTCAACTCCTACTCCAAAAGTAAATGCTACACCTATGGAGAGAGAGAGAGAGAGAGAGAGAGAGAGAGAGAGAGAGAGACAGACAGGCAGACAGACAGACAGACAGACAGACAGAGACAGAGAAAGACAGAAAGAGACAGAGAGAGAGAGAGAGAAACTTAGAAGGGCATAGGGATTCCTTCTTGAGAGAACTCCTATTTTTAACAAGGAAAAAACTTTGCTTAAGAAACTACCTACATATATATTTTAGAATCATGTCACTTGCTTACTATTGACCATAAAAAGGCTGAAAAAAATGAGTATTTTAGTTCTGTAGGTTTCAGAGTATAAGGCATCACTGTGAAGGTGGCTCTGAATCACTTTTCAACTGCTCACTCCAGAATTCTGTCACAAGCCAAAAAAACATTCAAAGATCAACCTCATATTTTGGAAACAACAATGTTCCTTCACATTTCATTAACCCTGTTAAATTTCGTTTTAAATTATGTATGGCTTAGGTGTATGCTAATCAAAAGTGCTAGGCTAATTTCTGTTAATTCCATACATTCAAGAAGAAAAATATTAATTATTGCAAATGTGTTTCAGTCTCTTGAAAATTTGATGCAACATTCAGAGGATAATCCAAATCAGATTCGCATATTGGCCCAGACCCTAACAGATGGCGGAGTCATGGATGAACTGATCAATGAGGAACTTGAGACATTTAATTCTCGTTGGAGGGAACTACATGAAGAGGTATGAAGCTAAGTGAAAAATCTTTTTAATCTGATTTGCATAGCAAATTTGTATAGCAACTGCCAGCTTCTCATATTGAATGAAGGATATTCTCAGTACTAGTTCAGTTGTAGGTTTTAGAGCAGGACAGGCACTTGTATTCTTTATACAAGTTTTTTTTTTTATCGTTTACCATAAAATATTTTTTAGAAAGTAGAATTTTAACAGGAAACTGAGCCAAAAGCTATAGATCTTATCTGAATACAAACATTATACCTTTCCCAAGTATAATGAGTGCTCAGTTCCCTTTTTCTTCTTTCTCTCTTCTTTATTTTCTGTTTTCTGCATTTGTTTGGGTCACATATAAACTGTTTATAATAGATGTGATATCATTAGTCCTATGGCTATTGTATATTCTTCCAAAATAAGGTAAAAATGTTCTTATTTATAGATAAAGAAGATGTTTTCTGATTTAAGAATTAAGACACATGGAATTACTTATTTAAAGAAACTTAAAGTGGAAGTATTTTTCATAGTCAAACAGTATTTTATATACTCTCTCTTAACTAAAAAATGTAGATTATTTACAAAGAAGAGTAGTATTTCAGGGACTGTTAATTTCACATCTTCAAACTAAGTACATTGACTACATCATGTGAGAGAAAGTTTGATGGTTGTTATTGTAATAGTTTGTCATGTACCTTATTGTTTATAGAGATTAATTATTTAAGTGACAATTATTTCTTCACAAGTTTGTAAAGAACATATTTAACAGTATCTCTCTCAATCTATCTATGGGTGGAATAAAGGGGAAAATGACTGTGATGGTCACTAGGGAAATTTGCAGGAAAAAATTTTGTTATTTAAGGTGGGGGAAGTCATACATGCTAATGAATTGGGAAGAAAGACTTCAGTATGATGATTTCCACTATCTTCCATTATAAAGAGAAGTCTGTAAGAGTGGGAATGGATGTGAGCAAGTATTCCTGCATCAGCCCCTGTCTTTAATCCTGACACTGTGTTGGCTGAGCTGCTTATCGATATTTCATCAATGTTAACATAAGGAATTGGCACTGGAAATGGGGGAATCCAAACAAACCCTTGGCTCTTTGCTGTTGCTTCACTTTTATTGGATGAGAGTTGTTTACATTTTCTTTTTTTTTTGGGGGGGTGTCTGGTCGTGGGGCCTGAACTCTGGGCCTGGGCGCTGTCCCTCAGCTCTTCAGCTCAAGGCTAGTGCTCAACCACTTGAGCCACAGTGCCACTTCCGGCTTTTTTCTTTTTGCTTATGTGGTGCTGAGGAATCGAACCCAGGGCCTCATGCATGCAAGGCAAGAGCTCTACCACTGAGACACCTTCCTAGCCCCAGTTGTTTATATTTTCAAGGGGCCACTACATTGAAGGATATTTGAATTTGGAGTGTGACATGGTTTTGAAATGTGCTTTATTTTTATTTGAACATAATTTACGGGTAAGAAATTATAGTTTGAGCCAGACACTAATAGCTCATATCTGCAATACTAGCTACACAGGGGACTGATGGAGGAAGGATTGTAGTTTGAAGTTAACCTGGTCAGAAAAGTTTATGAGACTGCGTCTCCAACATAACTAAGAAGATGTCAACCAGAGACATGGGTTGACTGGTAGAGCAAGATAGCTGAGCCAGTATAATACTATGAGTTTAAGACCTAGTAATAGGAAGGAAAAAAGTTTATGTTAAAAAAAGAACAAACGGGGGCTGGGAAGGTGGCTTAGTGGTAGAGTGCTTGCCTTGCATGCATGAGGCCCTGGGTCTGATTCCTCAGCACCACATAAGCAAAAAGAAAGAAGCTGGAAGTGGCACTGTGGCTCAAGCAGTAGAGCGCTAGCCTGGAGCTGAAGAGCTGAGGGTCAGCGCCCAGGCCCAGAGTTCAAGCTCCATGACCAACCCCCGCCCCCCAAAAAAGAACAAACGTCAATTTGTAAAATTGTACTGCACAAAGGAATGAGTCCCAATTTTTAGCATCGTTCAGGTTGCATCTGTTCTGACTATAGGAATAGATAACTTTCTAGTCAGATATTGACATCATTTCAACTTATGTAAATATTTTTAATGCTTAGAGATTGATAGTTGATCAAAGTGCTCGGCTCATATGCCCTTAATATTTCAAAGATATTTCATGTGAAGTCTGATTTCCTCAAACTAAATTGAGGCTGAGTGTTTCAAAATGTAAATGTGAAATCTGAAATACTTCAAAACCAGAAGATTTTAAATTTAGTTGTCAAGTGATATTGATTAAAAATTCTTACATGACCCCATGTGATAGGTCACAGTCAGGATTCTGGCACACTAAATATATAAAAATTATTTCCAAACAGTGGAACATAAATGAATTTCATGTTTTGAACTGACCAATATCCCAAATATATCTCATTATATATATATATATATATATATATATATGCAAATTTCCCCAAATCCCAAATAAATCTCAAAGGCCAAGGCTACTCTTCAGGGAATATTGCTGTGGTATGTTGACAAAATTCACCAATAAGTAGCTAATTAGGGATATGCTATTGAACTTTCTGAAAAACTGGCTGTTGTAAATAGTAGATTCACTGAGAAGCCACCTGCAGTAGTATTGCTGACCCAGATGATAGTTTAATCAGTTTCCTGCAGATTGGCTACCCAGGTGAACTTACTACTTAGACATCCTTTCAACTTACCAGGCCCTTTTCAATTCTTCAGTGGGAAGAGCAATGAGAGGAATTTTACTGAGCATCCCAAACCGCACATGCGGGGAAAGAAGTATATGCTCATTGGAAGAGAAGTTTTACTGCCTCCATTGTCAATCCAGCTCCCCCTATTGACAAAGTGTAGCATCATGCCAGCTGACCAAGGCAAAGATGTTCTAGTATAAATAACAGTGCCATGTTTAAGGGCATTACATTCATAATAAATATATCCTTCTATTGTTGATTGGCTATATGATATTGCATGAGACTTTACATCTTCAATATCGTCATCTATGATAACAGAGCTTTGTTTCATAAGATTATTGTGGCAAAGTATAAAACACTACATCTGAAGTGCCTAGTCTAGATTTAATTCAATAAATGATGAGAATGTTTATTTTGTCTAGAGAACATATCCTCTAGGAAATGTATATCTCTTCACATATGTGTATATGGAAAGCATAGACAGAGAAATATGTACATTTCAATATGAAAAATAGAAAAAATTGTATATAGTTAAGGTAATTAAGCATGTCCATGACTGAATCAAATATGCTTTCTCAACTGAGATTCAGAAATACACTGTGAAAGTATTCAATGCCAAAAGACAGAATCAGAAGGCTAATAAAATGACTTTTTAAATTTTGCCAGTCCTGGGGATGGAACACTGAGCCTGGCCACTGTCCTTGATATTTTGTGCTCAAGGCTAATAATGTTCTACCACTAGAATTCTTTTTTGTAGTTAATTTGTGATAAGATTCTCACAGACTTTCCTGCCTGGTCTGGCTTTGAATCATGAAACTAAGATCTCAGCTTTCTGAATAGCTAGGAATATAGATGTGAGCCATCGGTGCTGGCCAAAAAAATCACTTTTTCGATAATAATAAAGTCAGAGGGAGAACCAAAAGCAAATATATAAAATAAGGTAAAGATGAAATCATCTTTCTTAAAGCCTTAAAAATTGAAATTTCCACTTTTACATCATTATTCAATTTGACAGTGTACTATAACATAAATAAACTGGAATAAATAAATTTGAAGCTGCCATCAGTCTTGGCTAGGTTTATGTAGTATTTAAGCCACAATAACCTCAGTTATCTGACAATGAAAATAAAGCACAACTAGTATTATAAGGATTTAATGAAATCATGTAATAGAGTTATAGCTTTCTCATCATTGGTTTGCTGGAATAAGTTCATGCAACTTTAAAGGTATGATTTTGAGCTCAACATCGGGTGGGAATGGGACTGATATTTTACCCTCAGGTTATCAGATGAGCACTTTGATCAACTATCAATCTCTAAATCATAGAGAAATTCTTATGTATTTGTTATATAAATCAGTTCTTTGGCTAAGCTCTCTCACCAGGTATTTGCAAAGTTAGGAATCTGATATAGTAGAGACTTGAGATGGATTAATTGAGAGGCTGACAAAATATATCTGTAGGAACAGTATGATTTGAAAATTTAAAGAAGAGTTAATTTTCAAAATATCTGTTATGAATTAATAATAATATATAATACTAATAATATAATGTATAATATAACAGTGAATATGGTGTATTTTAAGCCACTATATTCTTGATATCTTTGCTAAAGGAAAACAGATATTCTATTAATAAAATGTTATTTCATCTGAAGATGAGTCATTAACCCACTTGTTTCTCCAATGCCAATTTCAAATGTTTGTGAGAGATTATTTTATTCCTTCCCTAATTTTTTTATAGTTGTAATTATTCAGAACTAAGGTAACATTCAGTTGCCTGGTAAATCAATCAAACAGCCAGAGTTTTTATTGCCTATGAATATTTAAAAGAGATATTCTAGATTCCATTCCTAATTTCAGAGTGTGAGTTTGAATTCTGATAAGTAATAAATTACTTTCAGCATTTTAAGAAGGCATCTTTCACTCTTAATTATCATATTTTATACTCACTGGATTGATTTGCAGAATGGTTATCAAACCAGGAAGCAGTACCAAACGTCATATAAAATCATATCATTTTTCTTTTTCTTTTTTTACTGTTCCTGGGGCTTGAACTCAAATACTGGGCACTGTGTCCCTGAGCTTCCTAGCTCCAGACTAGCCCTCTACTGCTTGAGCCACAGCTCCAGTCCTGGCTGGCTCCCTTGATTTCTCCTTCCTCCCTCCCTCCCTCCCTCCTTTCCTCCCTCCCTCCTTTCCTCCCTCCTTTCCTCCCTCCTTTCCTCCCTTCCTCCCTTCCTCCCTTCCTCCCTTCCTCCCTTCCTCCCTTCCTCCCTTCCTTCCTTCCTTCCTTCCTTCCTTCCTTCCTTCCTTCCTTCCTT